CAATTAATTCTGTGCATCATAAATTCTATGTTAATCAAAAAAAAGTTTTTACAACGCCAAATTGCAAAATCAGCAATTGTAGTGACCCAAAATGTAATTTTAAATTTAATCACTCATGTGTTCAATATAAGCATAAAATTGAATTTTATGAAAAAATGTATAATACTGCAATTAAAAATTATTTTCCTTTTTTCAATAACATTTATGAATGTGTATATATATATGATTTGATTATATACAGAAACCAAAAATTTTGCTAACTTTCCTTATATCATATCGAATTGTCAATCGAATTGTCTCACTGCTTGATGACCGCGAAATGGATGAGATTTTAACCCAAAACTATAAATGTAAGGCAATAAATGTAAACAACTAAAAAAACATTTTTTAGCTTAGTATATCCCATTTGATATGTTGGTGCGGTTTTGTGATATAACCATTTGTTATTAGAAAAAAATCTTATTTTCAATGAAACAATAATTGTCAGGATATAGAATAATATATAGCTGATATATATATATATATAAGAGGCAATATTATGGCTAATATTCTGACCATTGATGTATATATTTATATATATATATAGTGTAATCTTCGTTACGGACAATTTATCCCATTGAGCAACGAACTTTAAACCGAAACGGACATTTAAACCCGCATTAAACTTTTGTAATCCTCAAGACTATAATATATAACCGAATACCAAACTCAAAACGTTGTAAAATTACATTCAAAAGGGATTTAAACTTCGAGAGAAAATTTAAAAACCCATCAGTATTAGAGGTGATATTTAAAAATCGCTTTAAAATATACAATATATATGCATTTCAAGTTCGGTTCATTTAAACAAAATTTTTTCTATCTTGTACAAAAGTTGAAGTTATATATATATGGGGCACTCCAGGCCAAATCGGAAATCATTTTGCTTTTGCATCTCAAATTTTTTTAAACATTTTTTTCTTTTAGGACTCTTTGAAATGAGCTACCTTGATTTTTTTCAAATTTTTTCATATAAAGCGGTTCAAGAGATACAGATTTTCGAAAAATGACGTTTTTTACGTATAAATCTTTTCTTTAAATGCTTATAACTCGGTCAAAAATTGATCAAATTGGACGTTTTTATAATGAAAAGTTTTGTTTTCACGCGTAGTTTTTAATAAAAATATTTTAAAAAATTTTTTAAATAATTTACGATAAGATTTTAAAATTTTAAAAATAAAATTTCATTTTTAACAATGTATATGTATCAATCAATTTTCTTCAAAATTTTTTGTAAGAAACTAGGACTAAATTTACAATTATTAAGCCTTGTCTGATCGTGGGCAAACGATGAGATCTATTTATTTTGAAATTCTTTAAAAATATTTTTATTAAAAACTACTAGTGAAAACAAAACTTTTCATTATAAATACGTCCAATTTGATCAATTTTTAACCGAGTTATAAGCATTTAAAGAAAAAATTTACGTAAAAAATGTCATTTTTCAAAAATCTGTATCTCCTGAACCGCTTTATGAAAAAATTTGAAAAAAATCAAGGTAACTCGTCATTTCAAAGAGTATACTAAAAGGAAAAAAATGTCTAAAAAAATTTGAGAAGCAAAAGCAAAATGATTTCCGATTTGGCCTGGAATGCCCCATATATTTTAATATTTATAACATATATTTTATTTATTTAAAATTATAGAATATTTTATATCAATTTTGAGACATATATTTTTTATTTATAGTTATTTAGTTCAAGGCTTGAAATTAACTTATATATACTCATATATATATATACTCAGAAATAATGTTTTGAAAAAATCAAATTTTATAGTTCAATCAACCAAATAAATTCATTGCTATATATTACTATTAACCAATAAACATTTATTTCGTTAAACTAAGAATTTGCTTCAGATAATCAAATTCTTTTTTAAAAAATTTATTATAATCTGAACCAAATGTTTATTTAAATCAAATAAATATTTGGGTGAAACCAACCATGTTAACCAAAGATTTGTTTTTCACAAACATTTTTTCCAAACTTTTGGAAATATTTCTTTCAATTGATACTCTCTTAATTTGAATCGCATCAGTTAAAAATTTTAAGGTTTTAACTGACAATCATAGTGACGACTTTTTGCTTCTGAATCAGTTAAAAATAACTGAAAAATTAGTTAAACTTATCTTATTGAATCAGACAAAAAACATTTACTGAAACATTCGTTATTTTTAACTATTTTTCAGTATATAGAAATATTACTATATATATTTGAATTAGTGTCTATGAGTGCTTCTAAATCAGTTATTCTTTTAACTGATTCTTATATGTATAGAGTATATAAAATAAGTTATTAGGACGAGTAGTAAAATTATTAAATGTAATTTTCAAGAATTTAAATACATACGAATGTATTAATCTTGTTACATATATATTTAAACAAAAAATTACGAAATTCAAATCTAAAATGAGGCGTGAAAAAATATAATTTATTGATTATCGAGAAAATAAAGGAAAATACACGCGACTTAAGGAAGAATACCATACCAGAATGTATGTATATAGTTAGAAGATACATACTGAGAAGAAGGAAAAAGATAATTAAGTGCGCGGGAACAGTATAGCTCAATGTCCGTTAAACGAGGTGTACGCAGAATATAGCAAAGCGACGGAAAGTTCCACTGAACGGTATATAATCGCTGCGCTCACGTGTTTCAATTTCGTAACGATACTGCGCATCCATTTGACACTATTTCAAATCATTACTTCTACTAGTGATAAAAAAATAATTCTTTTTCCCACACAATCAAGACAATTTCGCCGTTTTATATTTCGAATTTCATAAAAATTCATCTAGTGGAAAAATAGTTATGAACACATTTTAATATGCGCTTTATATACCTACCAATATATAGGTATACATGCGATGTTGGAGTAACCGCACAAAAGGAATATGTACAGTTAGTGCTGTTACATACACGAGAGCCTCGTCAAAACTTTATGGAAATGCGATTATTTAATCTAATTTCAACAAAAGTTTATAATTTTTTATGATGTATTGTAAAAGAAAAAAAACTACATATTGATACATATAGTCCTTTTTTTATTTTTTTATTTTCGAATGCAGTGTTACAATATTTATTATATAAATTGATTAAGTAATCCCCCAGTAGCACGTAATATTAGAGCGATATTGGGAACATTGCCTTAACATTACCAATATTGCCTCAATGTTGTGGCATATTGCTGGAATGTTCCCAATATTACGTGCTACTTGGGATCCAATTTAATTAAATTTTAGATCATATCTTAATAATCATTTATAATTATTTAAAAGAAGCAATTTCAGTAAAGTAAAAAGTACATTTGTGAAATAAATCGGGAAGTAATTATTACCTCTAAATTTAGAACGGTTTAAACAGATTTTCAAAAATTGATTAACTTTGAAATATGCAGTTAGTACAGCTATATATGTATTATATTGAGAAAAATTTTTATGGAACGCAAAACCTTTTGCCTATAGATTTTATGTTGATGAGGAAGAAGTTGTCCGCTTTTATAGCAAAATACAATCTTAAAGACCCTTACGGTCATGACCCATCTGTTTGAGATTATAATATTATACAGAGAGAGAAAATCTTAAAACTTTTCGAAAAATTTTCTAGTAGTACATTTGTAAAACATTATACTTTCTAAGACATTTGATATTTTATGACGTCAAGAAATGTGTAGATAAGAAATGTTTGATTTATTATTGTATTAACAATGCAATAAATTTTGATATTTCATGACGTGACGCGCACAACCAATTACAGAAAACAATGGAATATAAGGATAAGTGATACTGAGAATGAAAAATAAAGTAGGTATAACACACAACTTTTTAATTGTTTAGATGTTGTATCTATAATATTATAGTTTTTATTAGAATTTTTATTTTTAAGTTGTTCTGCACACAACATTTCGATGAAATTTTTACACTAAAAACATAACGTAAAATAAAAGTAATAATGTTTGGACATAAAGACAAAACTATAATATTGAAAATATGTATTATAAGCAATATTCTATACCCTAACAGCATCTGGATATTCAGGATATTCTATACGAATGTCCTAAGGCTATCCGGAAACTATTATATCTGTATAGGATGTCCCAGCAGGGATGTCCTAAGATATCTTAAGGACATCCTAGGGATATCCAAATTTCCCGATGTGACTAGGACGTCAGTAGGATATCCTTGAATATCCGTTATACTGTTAGGGTAACCCGAGATGAAATTTTCAACTTACATTGGCCCATAAAAACCTAGTTTAAAACTGATTCAAACCTTTTAACGATTGTTTGACCCTTATGGCATTACTTTAACCTTTAATCAACCTTCGATTGTACATTTCCAACCCTAAAAGGAACCTTATGAACCTCAAAAGAACTTCTTAATTTTATGATTCTGAAATAGTCAACCTTACTAACCTTCCTTTAACCCTAACATACACTATACTTTCTTGCTCACCGACTTCGTTTGAACCTAAAAAATTGATTTTCGAATCTCCTTTGTCCCAAAAATATCCTTTTTCGTTTCCGGAAACAGACCATAAAAGTGTAGGCAATCATAAAAATGGGACAAAAAATTACTAGCAATCCTAAAGTAAGTGTTTAAAGATGTTTAGCTTAGTAGAGCTTAGTGGATCTTAGTGGATATGAAGAGGTATATATGAATAAATATATACACAAAATATAGTTTTGGGATTTACAAATTTCCCACCCAAAAATTTACTATAGTAAAAACACAACTATCACATGGCCTAAAACTCATATTGCAGTTAGTTTTTCGTCAACTACGACAAAGTTTGCACTCATTTTTTAAAAGCGTCGAATAAAATTTGATTTAAACAAAATTTATGTAATAAAAATAAAAAAAACAATTTTGTGCTTGTGTTGTGGCGGGTGACAAAAGTAAAATATCAAGGAGTAGGTGGACCCTAATGAACCGAAATCAAAAGGTTAATTAGCAAGAATTGTAATGTTTGGAGGTAAGTGATATTTATTTTGTGTAATAATATTAAATAACTTCAAATATCACAGGTATTAGGCGTAAAAACACAATATCCATTGTTAACCCTACACTGTTAGAAATTTCTGTAATTTTACAGCAACTTTACAGTACAAACATACTGTGAATTTACAGTTTTTGCTGTAATAACACATAAATGTAGTAAATTCACAAAAATGTTGTAATTTTTACAGTAAAACCTTACAAATACAGCAAAATTTCATTGTATTTGAATAATTCACAGCAAAAAAAAATTGTACTTTTTATTTACAGTAAATTGTTTGCGAAATCACAGTATAAAACTCAAAGAATTTTACAGATATTCATTTTGTGATTTTAGCTGAGGTTTTTTACATTATAACTATAGCATTGACTGAATTTTAACCTTAAGAATATGATTTTAAGTCCTAAAAGTATAGCTGAATCATTTTTTAAGCTTAAAAATAGTTTCAATAAAAACTATTTTTTAATTATATTGCATTTTAGTATTAGTGAATAATTTTGGACTGAAAAGAAGAATAGAGTATGGTACACATGTTTCTTATATTTGATACTGTAACAAATTTAGTTTATTTTTATTTTTTGTCTTATGCAAAATTTTAATTTAACTTTACTTTAGTTCGGAGATGTATAATTTTAATAAATATAACATTAATTTTTATAATTTGACAAAAAGATAATATTTTATTCCTTATTAATTTGCGATTATTACATTAAATTAATTCATTTTTAACTGTCGATCGAAGAAAAGTCATTCAACATTCATATAATAAATAATTTGATTATTATAATGACTATTTCGCGTCGGGACAATATATACATAATACTTTGCAAGAGACTTTCATAGCCTCCCTTGGTCGAGCGCGTCTAGGCGCAGCTCCCAAGGTTGATGGCTCCATACAAGATAGACAACACTATATACGACTAAGGGTTCAAATCGTGGCGTCGCATTTCCGTAATAATGATAATAAAATGTTAATAAAACTTTTTTTTTAGTTAATTTACTTTTATTATAACATATCAGAAAACAATATAAACAGTTTTGATTTTTTATGTAAATATTCAAATGATAGAATTTCCGAATTAATAGTAGGGAATATTATTGAAATACATGGTATACTGTAAATTTACAGAACTTTAGTGAAGTAAAATTACAATATTATTTTGATGGATAATTGTTTCTTGTACTTTTGCTGTAAAATCACAACAGAATTTTCTAACAGTGTACATTAAAAAAATTATTTGAATCAAATGTTACATTACTGAGGCAATATTGAAACGATATTATACCAAGCATTTTCGCATAGTATTAAATATTTTGTATTTAGAACAAATATTATAAATTATTTCAACGTTGTCTCCAGATCATCACAATAAAAATTACCGCTGTATTGAATGACAATATTACCTGAATATTTTCGAGCATCGACACTACAATGTCGCCATGCTTTATTGCTTTAAGTCGAATATAACATTTGCAAAAATATTGGCAATATTTCTATGCAATATTAATCTATTTTATTTATTGTTTAGAATGGACAAGAAGATTGTTAACTGGATGATGTAAAGCTGACAAGGGCCGATTATATCAACATCATGAATAAAAAAGATTCCAACAAAATATATATAAAATACAAAAAGAAAAAAGAGCAATAATATAAAAAAATTCGAATTAAGTGAGAAACTTAATAATAATGTTTGTTGTAACGTTTAAAGTTTACTTTAATTTAAAATGTAAAAACTATAATTGTAAAAGTAACAAATAAAAAATTCATAAATCTGAAAAATGTCATTTTCTTTCATTTAATCCTGCTTGGCAATAAAATAGGCCATAAATATGGAAACACTCCAGACGCTACCTTAAGGAAACCTTACAACACCAGAAAATAGGAAAAACTGTACGAAAGTGACAAAATTTAGCCTGATTGTAGCTTCGTTAGGAGCAAATATCTATAATAAGTCGGTTTCTAATGAATATCATAAGATTTTTAGAGGGTAAAGAATTGTAGATTCAAAGCATGTTGAAAGTAGGCTGAAAATTTTGTCTCGGGAAGTTTTTGAAATTTATTTCAGCTTTTTAAAAAACTGGTGTTGATGGGAAGAGTTAAAAGCGAAGTTCACACTTGATGATTGATGATACAAAAAAATCCATTGAATATTTATGTGATATTTACCACTAATTTTAAAAAGCGTATACGCGTTAAATAATCAGTAATATTTCACTAATGACTTTGGGCCTATTACACCAATAACATATACAGTCAACTCTCGATAAGACAAACTCGAAGGGAGACCGAAAAAACTTTGAGTTATCAAATGTTAATAATGCTTATAAGGAATGAACGGGGCCCAAGAATTACTTTGACTTACCAAAAAATTGGAGTTATCGCGCTTTGTCTTATCGAGAGTTGACTGTACTGGACTGCCTTCAACGGCTTACATCAGTTGCTTTAAGGCGCAATGCTTTAAGCTCAAGGTATCCGGCGAGTTCGATCCCATAGCTTCGTAGGAATTTTTTCATTATTTGTGTATAATTTTAAAAATATAAAATTAACCCTCAAAGAGCACATGGGGTCATTCTGACCCCACGTTTTTCTACGAAAAGCTTTTTATCTTTTTTTAATATCTTTTATATTCTCCGTGAAATTTTTATTAAACATTTTTTTTATTAAAACAATTTTTTACGAATACTATATGAAAAATAAGTAAATACCAGTTTTTTTATTTGATAAAAATTATGGAAGTTATGATTTTTTTAAATTTAACGTTTTCAGAAGTAGAGGGCACTTTTAAAACGCTTTTTTCTGTTATACACGGAGAAAATTTTATTTGTAGCGGTTACAAAACTTTTCTGTACTGCTCGGACGAAACGACCATTTTAGACCACTTTTGTTACAGCTACAGAGCAGTTCTACTACTTTTCAAAATAGATCTGCTTAAATTACAGAACGCATCTGTAACATGTCACGAAGCCTACTGTACTTTGCTTCCGAATTTAAGTTCCGTTCTTATAGTAAAGGTTCGAATGGTAAGCGATTACAGAACTGACTTGTAGCGTTGTTAAATGTGGTGCCTTTGTGGTGTGTTTACGTGTGCATATAAATAATTCAAATAAACATAAATTATTAATATTTAATTTCTTTAAATTATTAATTTTTTATTGACAATAAATTATTAATTTCAAAGATATAGATTTAAATGTTAAAATACTGTGAAATAAAAGAAATTAAAACTCTAATAATTACAAATAAATAGAAAAATTTTCGAAATATATATAAGAATTAATAGTTTTATTAAAGATAATTAAAAAATTTGTGTAAATTCAAATTATTATTATTATAGAATAAAGTAACTAATTTTAAGAATATTAGTAAATTACTATTTTCTTGTCATATATAAAATTGACCCTGATCATAATTGATTTTTTAAAAGCTTTAATTAATTTTTAAAGTTAAAGTTTATCAAATTGATAAACTTCTTATTATGTATTACGTTTCTCTCAAGAGCAAAAGAATTTGAGAAGTTAGTATATAAGAGCAGTTCGGAATATACTTAATATAGCGAATGTAATAGTATAGTGCGTTTATGTTTGTACTGCGTTAGTTTAGGTTAGTGTTAGGAATATATGTACACGGAAAAAAAAAGTTCACGAATCTCTCGTGAACTAGTATATCACTTTTGGATGGGACACAAAATTTCAAAATTTTCATTCACTTTTGATTAGAAATGGCGAACGTCAACGAAAAACTGAAACAAAGTTAATGAATTTTTGATGAACTGTTAATGAAGAGTAGTTCGTCAAAAGTAGAGGTACAAGTTCACGAAAAAATCGTGAACTCACGAGTGTCAGTAGTATGCGCAGTTCGTAATGCGCATCAAATATGGCTGATCAAGCATTCATCATTCAGTCGGTGTCATCGGTGTTTACATTCGGGAAAATTCTTTGATGAAAGTCATTATTTAGAATCAGTGTTTTTTATTACTTAGTGAATATTTTTGTTTGCTAATTTCCTTTGTGAAACAAATAATTCATAAAATGAATTAAAAGTTACGATAAGGGACTTTTTCTACTTTGCACGGTCCTGAGTTTTACAGCAGACAAAGCTAATCGTTTCGTTTGTCGAAGGACAGTGTATCTAGATTTAGCCGTGGCGGTTAGTTGTTAGAACGAGTGTTATAGTGAATAGGTACTAGGTTCGAAGCCCGTGAAGCGAATTACGAATTTTAATGGCGATAAAATTGTGTATTCTGTGTAGTTGGGTGCGTAATAGGCGTCAAGTTATCAAATAAAGTGAAATACTATAAAAAAGTAGTGTCTGGAAATTATTTTTTCTTGTTTTTAGCATTTTTTAAAAGTTCACGAATTTTTCGTTAACTTTGACGAAAAGTTCAGAAACCGAACTATGTTTCTAGTGAAGGAGTTGATGAAATTTTGACGAACTGTGTTTGTTGATTTTCAAGAATTTTGTGTCCCATCCAAAAGTGATATACTAGTTCACGAGAGATTCGTGAACTTTTTTTTTCCGTGTATATAAGCGAGCGAAATTGAAATGTATGTGTGAAGTGAGAATGTGAACAAAATTTGAACGTGGTTGTATGCCAAAATAGTACAAATGTGTGAGTAAATGCGAAGAAAATAATTTTTATTTTTTACTTTATGAAATCAGAATTACAGTTCTGATCCGTTATGATTACAGAATTGTTTGTGAACGGAGCACGCCTGCGCCTTTTCTGCGCAGATATGTCACCGGTTTCTTATTTTACAAAACAGATCTGTATTGAATAAGGGTACGATCATAATTTTTTCCATTTTTATTCCGTCTTTATTAATAGGTTTTTTATTTAACCACACAGGAAAAATTATTTGTTTTTTCTTGAATATTTGAAATATGTAATAAAAAATAACATTAAGGGCATGTCCAAGGTGTAAAATGTAAACAAACCAAAAGTTAAACAAACCAAGCACTAAAATCGCACTTTTGAAACAGACGTTTCTCTTACAAAAATTAATATTTTTTCACATTCTTTACAAAAATGGAAAATTAGAGTGTCAAAGTGTCCAATAAAATCATTTTTGACTATAAGAAATAAAAAGCAATTAGTAAATTAACTAATTAAAATTACCTGTAAAATAGCATTTTTGACGCGTCGCGAAAAATAAACTGCTTGAGTATATCAACCGCACTGACGATGAAGAAGTCTCATGTCAGCGATTGGACCTTCAACATGTGGAAAGGGAAATTTTTCCCTTTTCTCCTTGAAATTACAAGAGAAAGGGTAAAAACTTCTTCATCGTCCGTGCGGTTGATATAGTCAAACAGTTTAATTTTTCGCGACGGGAACTCTGTTGCTCGCTGCGCGTGCGCAGGCTGTACCAAGGTCGCAATGATATCACCATGCGAAAATGCACATTTTGTTTTCGACTATAACTTTGTTGTTTTCTCATGCTTTCAGCTATGCTAGGTATAGTTACCAAACTCAATACTTTAGTTAACCATTTCCATAAAGAAAATATGAATTTATATTTATTTATGCAAATGAGATGGTCGAAAAAATGCTTCTCTATTCGGTCTATAGTGAAGCATTTTTTCGACCATCTCATTTGCATAAATAAATATAAATTCACATTTTCTTTATGGAAATGGTAAACTAAAGTATTGAATTTGGTAACTATACCTAGCATAGCTGAAAACATGAGAAAACAACAAAGTTACAGTCGAAAACAAAATGTGCATTTTCGCATGGTGATATCATTGCGACCTTGGTACGGCCTGCGCACGTGCAGAGAGCAAAAGAGTTTACGTCGCGAAAAATTAAAGTGTTTGACTATATCAACCGCACGGACGATGAAGAAGTTTTTACCCTTTTTCTTGTAATTTCAAGGAGGAAAGGGAAAAATTTCCCTTTCCACATGTTGAAGGTCCAATCGCTGACATGAGACTTCTTCATCGTCAGTGCGGTTGATATTCAAGCAGTTTATTTTTCGCGACGCGTCAAAAATGCTACTTTACAGGTAATTTTAATTAGTTATTTTACTAATTGCCTTTTATTGCTCATAGCCAAAAATGATTTTTTTGGACATTTTGAAACTCTAATTTTCCATTTTTGTAAAGAATGTGAAAAAATATTAATTTTTGTGGGAGAAATGGCTATTACAAAAGTGCGATTTTTGTGTTTGGTTTGTTTACCTTTCGGTTTGTTTACATTTCACAACTTGGACATGCCCTTAATAAATATTTCTTCAAATACTAATTTCTTGTGATCAAAATTTGTTTAAAAGAAAACTCGAATTATTGCAGTTCTGATAAGTAGATATTTTAAGTTGGGACACGTCATGGTATAATAAACAGATTATACAGCATATAGGTAAATATTAATTCATCATTACTTTTTATAGTGACTAATTTTTTTTACCAATTTTGATAACAATTATAATTATATTTGCGAGTCAGAATTTAGTAAATGCAAAAAATTCGGGTATTTCCTAAAATCTTAGGCATTTCGCAAAATGCCTGGTCTTCGGGTTTTGTCGGTAACATATATATACTTAAATCTGTATTATAGACGAATTCATTTTTGCAATTTAAAAAAAAGAATTATTATTTCTTTTTATTCAATAAAACCATCAAACAATATTTGCTATTAGCATAAATGGGTGATTCTTCACTCAGTGGGCACTTTTGCTTCCCCACTGTTCTCTATTTAATAACTTTAATAATTATTTTCTAATCTGCTTCAAACTTTTTGATAATTAATATTCAGCATGTTTTTTATTAATATTTTAATCGAAATTTTTTTTTTATTTTAAACGAAAGTTATGACTTAATTGGAAATGACCCAAAAGTGCACTTTTCTCGATTCTCCACACAGATAAATCATGAAGTTTAATATGGTCTATTTCACACAAAGTCTATTTTAATCTTATTTTTATTTCTTCCATTAGAAAGTTTATCTCAAATAGTAAGTTTTCTTGTGTTATTTTCCAATTTTCATTAATAAATTAGTGTAAAAATATTTTTTTAATACTTTCCCCACTATTTTTTTATTTGGAACTAGAGTTTACATTTTCATGTGTTCCCGAGATGAAATTTTCAACTTACATTGGCCCATAAAAACCTAGTTTAAAACTGATTCAAACCTTTTAACGATTGTTTGACCCTTATGGCATTACTTTAACCTTTAATCAACCCTCGATTGTACATTTCCAACCCTAAAAGAAACCTTATGAACCTCAAAAGAACTTCTTAATTTTATGATTCTGAAATAGTCAACCTTACTAACCTTCCTTTAACCCTAACATACACTACTTTCTTCCTCACCAACTTCGTTTGAACCTAAAAAATTGATTTTCGAATCTCCTTTGTCCCAAAAATATCCTTTTTCGTTTCCGGAAACAGACCATAAAAATGTAGGCAATCATAAAAATGGGACAAAAAATTACTAGCAATCCAAAAGTAAGTCTTTAAAGATGTTTAGCTTAGTGGAGCTAAGTGGATCTTAGTGGATATGAAGAGGTATATATGAATAAATATACACAAAATATAGTTTTGGGATTTCCAAATTTCCCACCCAAAAATTTACTATAGTAAAAACACAACTATCACATGGCCTAACCCAGATAGCACAACAATTTGCCACAAGTTTGCAGCAAGTTTGCATTGCAAACTTCGAAAATTTGCATGGCAAGTTTGCAGCAAACTTGCGGCAAGTTGTGAAATGTCCGCCTTGTGGCAAGTTTGCATGCAAACTTGCAGAAAACTTGCATGGCAAAGTAAATTAAAATGTCTGCGCAGTAGTTTTATATGCTATATAGAGCTGCGCACTACATTTTGTCACCTTCCCCAAGGGGGAAGGCAACATGTAACAAAATATGTACATTTTGAGTACAAAAAAATTTTTTTGAAAATTTTTAAAGTTTTTAGAAAGTTTTTAAAGTTTTCAGAAAGTTTTCAGCAAGTTTGTTACAACTTTTCTGCAAGTTTTCTGTGAAAACTTGTAGCAAGTTTGCATGCAAACTTGCCACAAGGCGGACATTTCACAACTTGCCGCAAGTTTGCTGCAAACTTGCCATGCAAATTTTCAAAGTTTGCAATGCAAACTTGCTGCAAACTTGTGGCAAATTGTTGTGCTATCTGGGAAAACTCATATTGCAGTTAGTTTTTCGTCAACTACGACAAAGTTTGCACTCATTTTTTGAAAGTGTCGAATAAAATTTGATTTAAACAAAATTTATGTAATAAAAATATAAAAAAAACAATTTTGTGCTTGTGTGGTGGGTGACAAGTAAGATGAAAACTATCAAGGAGTAAGTGGACTCTAATGAATAGAAATCAAAAGATTAATTGGCAAGGATTGTAATAATGTTTGGAGGTAAGTGATATTTATTTTGTGTAATAATATTAAATAACTTCAAATATCACGGGTATTAGGCGTAAAAACACAATATCAATTGTTAACCCTACATTAAAAAAATTATTTGAATCAAATGTTATATTACTGAGGCAATAATAAAACGATATTATACCAAGCATTTTCGCATAGTATTAAATATTTTGTATTTAGAACAAATATTATAAATTATTTCAAAGTTGTTTTTAGTTCGATTTTGCTTTCAATTTATATTATTATGTTAAAAAGTTGCATTTATGTTAAATTTGTATAAAGAAATAGCATTTTTAGATTTAAAACTATAAAAATTACTAGTATTTTAGGGCGTATTTTAATGATGTGTAAACTCCAGTTGCGAAAAAATCACTGAATTCTTAACCAATAAAAAAAATAAAAATAATTGTGATTTAGAGTAAACAAATCTCTTTAATATTCTATAAATATTGTTTTATTTTATTCATTTTTATGGCTTTAATGCATTTTTTTTATTTGTAAACTCCGGTTCCTGATGTAAACTCCGGTGCCTGATTTCGATTCGCGTAATGGAAATGTTTTGTTTCTATGAAAAAATGTTATTAACCTCCAACATATCAATAACAGGTGTGAGTAAAAATAAGTTTTTATTTATTAATTAAAGAAGTTAAAAATATAATAAAACAAATATTGAAAAATTTTTTTCATCAAGACATATTTATATACACAGGCCGACAAAATTTCATCAATTGCATGTTGCCTAAAATGTTATTGCCGATTCTTATAGGATTTTGTCCGTAGAATCCAAATTTGACCTTGAAAATATTGGATTGGCTCTAGTTTTTAAGCAACTTACGTTTCAATACGCAAAATACGCATTTTTGGCATTTTTTGAATGAATGTAAAACCAAATACTGAAACAGTAAATTTGTCCGCATAGGACCAAATTAAAGCTTAAATACTGCTCTTTAATATCCAAAAACAAAAAATTTAATTTATTTACAATTTAACCTTTAATGTCCAATGGGACATACGCTGTTCCATAAACGTATTGAAAATAACATTACTTTTGACCAGGTAAGGCAATTTAAGTAAAAATTAGTCTCTCTGAAGGTTTTTGTGGTCGCTGCTTATAAATCTGCTATGAAATATAAAAATTAAAAATTTCGGACTAATTTTTAAAAATAGTTTACACCTTTATGATAAAAATGCCAAATAAAAAAAAAATTCGCCATATTAAATCCGACATTTTGAATATTAAAATCTGAATACGGATTTCTAAGCAGCGACTACAAATACCCCCAGAGAGACAAATTTTTACTTAAATTGTCTTACCTGGTCAAAAGTAATGTTATTTTCAATACGTTTATGAAACAGCGTATGTTCCATTGGACATTAAAGGTTAAAGTGTATATAAATTAAATTTTTTGTTTTTGGATATTAAAGAGCAGTATTTAAGCTGTAATTTGGCCCTATGCAGACAGATTTACTGTTTCGGTATTTGGTTTTACATTCATTCAAAAAATGCCAAAAATGCGTATTTTGCGTATTGAAACGTAAATTGTTTGAAAACTAGAGCCAATCCAATATTTTCAAGGTCAAATTCGGCTTCTACGGACAAAATCCTATAAGAATTGGCTTCCATTGGTTGGGCAACAAAATTTTGTTGGCCTATATTTTATTCGAACTTAGGCGTGAGTTTTGAAAATTATGTGCTACTTTTCAATGTATAAGGGTGATTCTCCCGAAATACTCCTTTTTGTGAGTTACAAACAGAAAAGAAAAAAAATTATTATTTATGGATTAATGCAGTCAATTATATTGAGCTTTCAAAAATCTACCACCTCTATAGCATGATCATGCTAACTTTTAGCTTTTAAAGTATATATTTTAAATTAAAATTTACAAAAAAATTAAGAGGTTAAAATTTGGCGCCGGCGTTTTTTATTATATATATTTTTCTATTTACAAAAAATTATTTAAAAATTATAATTTATTAATCCCAATGGGAAATGCCAGTGTAGTGCCGATGTTCACCACTGGCTTAGTACTCAGACGATTGTTCGGCGTATTCTAGCCGAGCCTCGACAATTAGTGCTGGCGCAGTACAGAATTTTTGTTTCGCCAAAGCTTGGACAAGCCACGGCGGCAAGTGCTGGCTGAGTATAGAAAAATTGTTCACAACGCTCTTTGCCAACGTTGCTTTTTTGACATAAACTTGAAAAAAATTATAAAAAAAGTTTATGAATGTTTATAAATATAAATTTATTGAAAAAAATTAATATTTTACTTTTCAGTTGTTCATTTTTTATTCTTATTAAATTTAATAATAACAATTTAACATAATTGTCTAATTCTGTAAATAATAAATTATTTAAACAAATTAAAATTATAAACAAAATTTAAACTTTAATCTCAATAATAATTTGGTTCCTATTAAAATACTACTATACTTCTTACTATCAATAAAAAATTATTAAAAAATTACCACGTAATTTAAGAATTACGTCAAATGTTAAATGCAATAAATAAAGTAATTTAATTTAATTATTAAAAATTTAGTTTAACTTATTTTACTTCAATTTATTATTTCTAACGTATCCCTATTTTTTTCTCATCTTTGACTCAATAATTGTATGTCTGAATGATACTGAGATATCAATACTTTACTGTACACATGTGTCGTTAGCATAGTGGTTAGAGCGTTAGTCTGTTAGTCCGTAGGTCGTAGGTTCGATTCCCCTCGTCAGCAATTTTGTTTATTTTCATAGGTTTGCGATATTTCTAGATTCCAATCGTTAGGTACTAAAATATGAAAATCTAATGCACACTTACTGTAATTGTTTATTATTTAATTTTTAAATGTTATAAACAATTTTTTTCTACTTCATTTACTATATACATTGTTAGTCTCCATCTTTAATACAATTTCATTAAGAAGAGAAATATTTTATGAATAATAACTATTTATTAATATTATTTACCATTTTGTTGTTAAATTATTTATAATTATTAATTTACGACTAATTAATAACAATACGGCATTTATTGCGGCAATATTCTCAGCCAGCACTGGTCCAGTGCTGCGCCAGCGCTGTCTGGCAGCACTGGCAGGCAGTACTTCGTCAGCGTTAGACAGCGTTATCATCCCAGAGTTATGCCAGTGCTATGTGTCAGCGTAGCTGCCAGTACTGCCAGTGCTGGCGCAGTACTCCGCCAGTTGTAAATTTCCCATTGGGATATTATCTATAAATTTTATAGATTTTGAAATACTTACAGTTATCAAAAATCTCTTTAAACAATTGTCAAAAATTATTTTTCATACATTTTAGGTTCACTTTTCACTGGCAGTTTGTAAACAACCGACAATCATATCAATTTTTAATTTTTATTCAAAAAAGTGAGAGGAATGACGGGTGAGAGGAATGACGATTTCAACATTTTTTAATTTTATTTAATTGACAAATAATTTTCCTCCAGCTTAGAATGCCCTATCATGTTTATAAAGGATAACTTTATGTGAAAAAAATTTGCGATCAATTTATATATATTAATATTGTTTTTATTAGGGGTGAGAGGAATGACGCTTTAGGTTGTGAATCTCTGCTTATGTCTCAATTTTAATTTTTTTAACGCAAAATAATGACATTTTTTAAAAAGTAACTTAAGAAATTAATATTAGAGATGTTAATTTAAATATTGATCACAATAATTAAGCAATATCTCTACCCACAGCAAAAATATTGGATAATATTCAACGAGTGAGAGGAATGACGCGGTACTACATGACATAAATTTCATTTTCTATATTTAAAAAAACTACACGACATATTTTATTTATATTTTTGAAAATTATTCTTAAATATCATAACTTTTAGAAAAAATTAATAAAGTACCAATTTTCATGTTTTAAATAATTGTTTTACCTATTGAAAAAATGAAAAGCACTTAGATGACAGGTTAGAAAATCGATTTTGAGGTGGTAAAATATTTTAAAAATGTATTAAACAATAAAATTTTACAACTTTTTCTTGCAGAACATTTAGAAAAAGTGATAAAATAGGGAAATATGACTTGGTATTTTCCCAAATGATTATAATTATTTAGAAAATCTTGATTACATGCAAAATGAGGTTTTTTGGAGAATCACCCATAAGTGTTTATGTTTCTTTGAAAATTTCTTTTTTTTACCACATATCTCTAAAAATTGTTTTGTGTTAAAATGTTTTGTATAATATTACTTAATTGTCGTTTATTAATAAGCTCCTTCAGAATATAATTTATTTGTTTTTCACACTATTTTATATTATTAATGGACAAAACATGACTTTTTTAAACTTATTATTTAACCTCTAAACGAAAATTTTTAAAATTGTTTATATAAAATTAACAGATGAATTTAAGCTCAAATATGTACAAAATAATTATTTTCAGGCTTCATTATAAATATCTATACATAGAAAATTTCCAAAAAAATTAATATTTTTAAATAAATGTTCCCGTTAGTTAAAAGTTACCACTTAGTGGAGAATCACCCATATAGTTTTGATAGAAAAATTTGTTAACTTTACCATTGAACTTCAAACTTCACGTTTGAAAGATAAACTTTTGACTATCTCGAAACACTTATTATCTCAGTTCTTAATGAAACTTATGATAAAGCAAAGCTTACATATTCTATTTTTATTCCTGTAAAGGTTATATGATATACATAGTCATCAATCCAGGGGAGTTTGAGGAATAAAATAATTTCTACAAGCACTTCAAAGATTGAAGTGTGTGCGAATCTGCCATTACATATAAATCTATGCGCTTATCGAAGAAACCGCCAATTAATGGACAACTATTTCTTGGAAAAATGAAAACTCGCAGATTTCTGATTGGTAAACGCATGCGGTTACATGGGTTAAAACGTCGAAAAAAACGTATTTGAGATCCAATGGAAAATTGCCAAATAACTGATGCTGACAACAATTTTTTCATTGTTAAATATTGATATTAATACCTAATATATTACGCATGTTGAACCTTAACTTTGAAAAACAATGTTTTAAGAATACCAACACTTATTGGCAATTGCGTTTTCACGCTGCATTCGAAAATGACCTTGAAATTGTCCCATCACGTCAGAATTTTGAGATATTCTAACCTAAATGTGTAAA